TAGAGCTTTTCCACATTCTTTTTCCACAGATGTAGTCAATTTGATTTCTGTGTATTCCATCTGGTGAGATCTATGTATACAATCCAATTTTATATTGCTTTAAAAAAGTATTTGCAATGAAGAAGCCACTGGTCTTGAAAAATTCTATCATGTGATCTCTAGTATCATTTCTGTTACCAAGGGCATATTTTCCAATCACTGATCCTTCCTCTTTGTTTCCAACCTTTGCATTCTAATCACCAATAATTATCAATACATCTTGATTGCATATTTAATTTCAGGCTGAGAAGTTGGTAGAACTCTTCAATTTTATCATTACTGGCTTTAGTGGTTGGTACATGAATTTGAATAATAGTTGCTTTAATTGGTCTTCCTTGTAGGCATATGGATATTATCCTATCACAGACAGCTTATACTTCAAGACAGATCTTGGTATGTTCTTTTTGGTGATGAATATGATGCCACTGCTCCTTAATCTGTCATTCCTGGCATAGTAAACCATGTGACTGTCAGATTCAAAATGGCCAATGCTAGTCCATTTCAGCTCACTAATTCCTAAGTAATGGTTTATGCATTCCTTTCCATTTTTGACAATTTCCAATTTTCCATAATTCATATTTCATACATTCCATATTCCAGTTATTAATAAGTATTTACGACTGGCTCTCTTCATTTTGAGTTGTGTCCCATCAGCGTATGAAGGTCCCAAAGGCTTTACTCCATTCACATCATCACGGTCAACTCTACTTTGAGGAGTCAACTCAAAGCAGAATTGTATTTGGACAGCCTTCTAACCTGAGGGGCTTATCTTCTGGAGCCGTACCTAACAATATTCTGGTGCTCTTTTTTATGTTTCAATATTCAGTATTCTAGTACTATCTGACAGTGTTCCACTGCTATTCATAAGATTTTCAGTGACTAAATATTCGGAAGTAGTCCATCTCTCTTTCTTCCCAGTCTGTCTTCATTCAGCTTAGATGAACCTCTCCATCATGGGTGACCCTGCTGATATTTAAAATACCTCTGGCATAGTTTCCAGAATCACAGAAACATGCAAGCCCACAGTATGACAAATTGACAGACAAGTGGTATAGAGTGAAATTAGTCAATCACAAAATAACAAACAAATACTGTCTGCCACCAATGCTGTAAAAAGTTAAGAAAAGGGATAAGACTTGTGGGTCAATAGTGAAAAACTGCTGTCAGGACTGTGAGTGTTACAAGTGTAAAGGTAGACGTTTTATAAAAAAGGAGGGAAGTAGTTTACCCTGCAGTTAAGGAGCAGAGGACCCTTGGACCATCAAGGGAAAAGAGCAAAGTGCAAGACCCTATCCATAGATGCAGTGACGCCAAATATGGAGGCAGAGATGATGACATGGAGAGATGGAGTGGCTGGGGACTCTGGACTCAGGGAGGAGAGGGGCTGTGCACTGGTGGCCAGGGGACAGACTTGCGGGGTGTACCCTTTAGTTGTTTGAATGGTTATATATTCCTGAGTCCTTCGGTGTACTCTCCACCC